ATTTAGCACTTGGATAGCATTAGTTCTGGGATGCTATGAAGTAAGTTTGAGGGCTGCTAAACGATCAATTACTTATGCCTTGGGGATGTCTGCTACATCAAATGTACATATGATGCACATTGATTTCTTTGGCCTCCTGAGTTAAAAACAAAAATATATTACAATGCTTTAAATGTCTTTAATGGCCATTTATCCATTCAGTAATACTTGAATGCTTGCTGCATCTCAGTGCCTCATTAAGTTAGGTTTGGGAAAAAATGCAGAAATATGAAACAGTGCTTCTAGCTAAGGAGGTGGCCATTGGATGTAATTAGAGGTGAATTTTCCCCAGAATAATGGCAGAATTGTTGATGTTATGATGATGTCCTTGTACTATTTCTCTTTTAAGACTTTCAAGAACATCCTTCACTATTTGTAGATAGCATATTCAGCATTTGCTTGAAAATAAGATAGCCAAAGTCACCACATTAGCAATGGCTCAAGGTATTCGATTGATTTTGAATATGATATTTAGTTTTCATTGATATCCTATGATTGACATTTGAGTAGAGGTAATCTAACTGATTTCATATGGAAGACATTCTGTGATATGTAGACTCATTGTAGTATTAAAATATATTGGTTTTTTTTTGTTTTGATATTTGTATGATTTATAAAATAACAGAGATTTGGAGTATTCTTGTGCAGTTAAAGATAAATAAGTGTCAGGTTTTTAAACACCTTCAGACAGTTAATACAAACCCTTCTCCTCTTTCACCATTGCTTAGTAATTTTAAAGTTTAGAACACATTGCACTTCATGTGAATAAACTTTCACAATTCCAATTACTGTTAATGGATGATTCTCACCTGTAGTTTTAAAAGAGTAGGCCATTTATTTAATTAATACTATTCTCATTTTTGAAAGTCAGGTCAATGGTTTCAACTTCAGTAATTTTAAGTATATCTCTCATGTTTTATAGGCAGCGTTTAAAAGTAATGCAGGTAAGTCCCCTAGGATTAAAACCATAAAAGGATTTGAACAAGTCAATTGACAACTTAAGAGGTAGTTGTAAAATAGGGAAAATATTTGAATAGCTTTTAGAGTCTGTGCTATTTTACTTATTATAGATTGCAAAATATATTACTGTGTGCAATAAAATTAAGGGAAGGGGTTTTCCATTGGCATATGGGACAAATTTTATCTCCCAAAATAAATTATATATTGTTTTGCAGAGTAGCCATTTATCATGGAGTATTTATGTTTGCAAGTTCAGGTCAACAAATACACTATTTTTGAGTGCCATTAAAATGAATAAACTTTTTTTTTTCTTTTTACTATTTAGTTGTATAATGAAATTACCCACACATATGCAATATCTGTAAAAATGACTTAACATTTATTTTTCTAAAAATAATCTAGATAATTGTGTTTATTTAACACTGTCAGTTATACTAAGATCAATTTTTGTGAATAAAGCAGTAAAAATTAGCAACTGAGGTAGACATTGGTGCCAAAAAACCTTTAAATATATACAATGTAATTCAAAAAATGCAGAGAAAAATATAATGATGATTACTCTTTTTCAGTAGTTACCAAAATTTGACATTCATATTTTATATAAAAACAGGATCCTTTCCCTTTGATCAACTCATAAATAAAATTGAAATGTGGGTTTTCAAGTTACTTAGAATTTATTTTAAAAGTTTGAGTCTATTTACCTACTCTCACATACCCACTTTCTGTATTTAGATATGTATTAGTAATATCTGTGAATCTTGCACTTTTAACTCTGAAAATACATTTACATGTAATAAGACTTGGACTGGGGAGTTTAGAGTACGATAATATAATTTTCTACTTAAGGATTGTAACATAACACTTTCTAATAAGTAGTCACCTGCAGCTTCAACTGGATGTTGAGAATGAATGCAAAACATACTTCAAGTGATACCAAGGAAATTATTTCACTAACTTAATTCTACCAAAATTTTAAAATGCTTTTTTTCCTTCTCTGTTATTAATATAAACTTCTTAACATCAACTTCTTCAGAAATAGATTTAAAAGAAATAGATTTATATTTAAAAGAAATATAAAAAATACACAAATGAAGGGTAAATACTCTTAGCTAAGTGCTCTCTTCATTTTTGAAATAAAATAAAAATTAAACAATATATGTATTAACATGGACCAGAAACTAGATCATGGTATTATTTCTTTGCTGACCTTAACACTGAATATTTCTGTGGACTATAGCAATTCATGTTCCTATTAATTAAACTGCTTCAGAAATTCATAAATCATTTTGTCATTGATGGTCCATCTGTTTTTTATTAGTGTATTTATGTGTTGCTAATGCCATCTTAGGCACCAGGCTTGTCTAATCTATCTTTGGAAGTAAAAAAAGAGTTTTATACACTGAAATTTAACCAGTTGCTTTATGTACTTACTGTATGAGATTACATCAGTCTGGGTGTCATCCCAGCCCTCCAATCCCCCCACCCCCACTGAGGATGGAACCCAGGGGTGTTCTACCACTGAGCTGCACTGCAGGCCCTTTTTATTTTCTGAAGCAGGACCTCACTAAGTTTCTGGGGCTGACCTTGTTTTGCTATCCTCCTGCCTCAGCCTTTTGAAAAGCTGGGATTATAGGCCTAGTCTCTCTGGCATTTTCTAAGTAACATTTAATATTCTTCATCAAGATTTTTTAAAAACTGAGACTTTTCCTAAGTAATTAAATTTTTCTCTGCAAAAGTATTCAAAACCAAAGATAATGATCCAGAAAGACAATTTATTTCACTTTTGACATTCCTTGATTGCATATGTGATTATGGATATGGAGATTATATATATATACATATATATATATATATATATATATCGGGATCCTTTCCCTTTGATCAACTCTCTCTCTCTCTCATATATATATCAGGAATAGAACCTAAGGGCGTTTAACTACTGAGCCACACCCCCAGCCCTTTTTTTCTTTTTTTTGAGACAGGGTCTTGCTAGATTACCTATGGCCTTGCTAAATTGCCAAGGCTGGCTTTGAACTTGCAATTCTCTTGCCTCAGCCTTCTGAGCCACTGGGATTACAGTCATGGGCCACCATGTTTGGCCATATGGGATTTTTTTTGGATCACCAAAGGATTCTAATCATTAGGCAGCAATCAAGCTGCAGTTTATGAAAAGACATGCAAACATTGTGAACTCTAGTGAACAGAGTAAATTATGTCCATATTGATTGCAATATCTCTTCAAGTTCTTTGAGAATAGGATAAATATGAATGTAGCTATCTTATTGAAGAAAGAGGATTTTCAGATAAAATGCCTAGGAATAAAACTGTAAAATGGGTCAATCCAATGTGGTAAACCTGAAAGTATATTGAAATAGATCAATGTATAGGGTCAGAAAATTGGTACAATCGATATAAAATTGGTGGATGACTGTCATAATAAGCAGGTTAATATTATCTCTACATTAGTAAAATCAATTCTATTTTTGCTTAATAACCTCTCCCAGAAGACAATTCTGACAGTTGTGGAGAACTAGGTCTTTCTCTTTTCAAAGTTAATTCTAACCCATTTAAAAACATACTATAAAAAACTTAATCCCACTGGCATTATTCCTTTATATGCAATAAACAACTACCAACCATGAAGAAGGACACTAAGTAGAAGGGATAAAATCATGAACAGAATGGATCTAGTTCTGACAACAGTGAAATTTACAGTAGTAAAAACAGACTTTTTTTTTTTTTTAATTGCAGACATAGACTTAACTATGATTTTGATGGGCTACAGAGGAAAATTGCTAGATGCTGGGAGAAGGCAAGACCTTGTTTAGTCCAGCAGACTAAACATCTGCATTTCGAGAGCATTTATCAAATTACTGGGTCTCTTGAAACATGGGTCTTAGAAGCTCTGTGCCTTTCCTTGGATTTGCACTGTTTGAATTGTAGTTTGCTAAGCATGAAGCCATGATTGACCTATTGGTCAGAACTATCTTGTTTGTAAATGAGAATTCCACAATAGATGCAGATAGCCAATGTGGTAGATAACAGAGAACCTGATCTCTTGAAGACTATTATGACTTGCATTGAACTATCTTAACTCCAATCTTTGGGGTAACCAAATTTCTACCTACAGAGTCTTACTTGATGTATTCCCACATTCTTTCAGCATTTTCAGTCTGAGTGGAGTGCTACTATTGTATTCTAGGATGTTCCCTGAGGATAGATAGCCTTAGCACCTTGCATTATTTCTGCTCCAAAGTTAACATCTTGAGCAGGGAAAGCTTGGGAAATTCTTTTGTGCTGTCTAAGGTCTTCCACCACAAGGCAGAATATCATGTGGGGAGGGTGTGGTAGAGGAAAGGGGCTCAAGACATCACTCTGAGAAGCAGACAGTTTCCACTCACCTACTACAAAATATGTACCCCTAAGGTATGTCCCCAGTGACCCACTTCCTTTGCTCACACCCTACCTAGCTACAGTTACCATCCTGTTAATCCCTATTAGTGAATTAATTCACTGATTGGGTTAAAGTTCTCATAGCCCAGTCATTCACCCTTTATACTTTCTTGCATAGTTCATACATGAGGTTTTGGAGACACCTCAAATCTAAACCATAACAATACTCACATTGATTATTTATATTTGGACTTATTCCTAGGCTTTTAATTCACTTTTTAAGTAAAATTTTTTAGTGGCATAGAAGATACCAATCTTTTAATTTGTCCCCAATCTGGCCAATTTGGAACTCCAGCTGTCTAAGTTTGAATAGGGTCCTACTGTTCCAGGTCTGCTATTCTCTTTCCTCCCCATGGATAGCCAATACTACTTCTCTGTGATTATTCCTTTGAATTAACAATGACAAATTCAGGGGCTTTTTAAGGTCCCTCTAGAAGTCTGAATGCCTTTAGCCTTGTTTTGCCATAAACAGACTTAGAAGTAATTGTTCCAAATGGTCCTGAAGAAATTATAAAATTTAATTGAAATATATAAAATACACAAAAATGGAAGGTTTATGGAAGGTTGAGCTTTATTTCAATGTGTTGACCAAATATCAGGTAAATTCATAGCCTTATTACAAGTCTAAAAAAAGTAGTTTTATTGAAAAATCAACATCACTATCAAAATAATCTGAAAAATTTTGAGAATTTAAGAGTTAAGAGGTCATTTTGAAAAACAGAACACTAACAAATATTAACGCCTATTTGAGATAGGTCATATGATCTAAAGTATCCAAATAGAGAGATAAAGGAAACAGTATAACTGACTATAAAATCAATCACCTCACACATTTTCCAATGGAATAAAAAGCTATCTATGAAAAGTAGGAGAAAATAGAAATTAATGTTTTAGGATATCAACAAAGGGATCAAAACTTTTCAGTAGTAAAATTGAAATAGCAGTCACTTACTACCTCTTTAACTCACACATCCCTTATCTTGGAATTCTATTTCTTTAAAAGGATAGAAAATTACCATAAAAGAACAAATACATTAATAGATTTGACTATGCAGACTATGAGTCCTTTGAGCCCAGAGCTGTGAGCTTTATCTCTTTTCCAAGTATGGTGTTTTCTAGAATGCATTCAAGTAACACTTAATGGATGGATTCTAGTTGATCTTGTATACATGCTCTCCATCATTTGATGGTCCAACACTGATTCTTGAAGTCTTCCCACATGTTTGCTGCAGCCTGATAGGTTCTTCTCATTTGCCTTCTGGTCCCTGCCTGGTTTTAGAGATTGGCCACCTCTGTTTTGAGATTTTTGTAGAGGCATGCAAATGAGGACCTGCAGATCCCCTACTGGGTGGGGCTCCATGAGGGTACTCAAGTGCATGTGAATGATGATACTGTGTTTCTGGCATAAATGACTGAGTTGTATTGGGCCTGGAGAAGAAGTTAGATAAAAGGAGCCTATCTTGAGGCTGCTGATGCTTAGGCTCATCCACCACTGCACTTTGGGCTCCACTGGAATCACCATGGGGTTTCATTTGCCTTTGTGGCCCCACAGGGCTCAGGTGTTCCACTTCACTTGTGCCAATAGGTGGCAGCAGATTATTTCGCCTCAGGGGTATTGGTGAGCCAGAGGAGAGCCAGTCAACTGCCAAAGGGACTTGTGATCCTCTGGGGATTTCTTCCACAGGTCTTGGTGTTCCAGTGCGTAAGTGGCTTGTGCTGATTGGAGGAAGGGTACGTGGTGGGGGATTACGTCTCCTGGCAGACTGCACTTTATAAGACAGACATGATGTACTAAGCTCCAAGGCTCGGTTTGGCCAATTTCGGGTTGAAAACATGGTACTGGACCCAGGCCTCATAAGTAGCTTGTCATCAAGATCTAGGAGCTTGTCAATTAGGTAGAGATTTCTTGGCTGTAGAGGCATCCCATGAATCAAGAGATCATTCGCATTTGGCTGATGACCACTTGCTTGACAGAGACTCATCAGATTCGAGGTGACAGACAGCATCTTGGACTGTGGCACTCGAGGTAACACCAAAGTATGTGGTTCACTCAGCACATAGAGACTTTCTGAATCTGGTCTGGTGACTACAACATTACTCTCATCATCAGAAGCAAATCCTTCCCGGTAACTACGTGTCAATTGCTCCAAACAGCTCACAGTTTGTTTCCACACATTGTGAAACACATAAGCAAGAATTTCCTCTTTCATGCAGTAAAATGGATCAATGGGAGGGTACCCTAATTTCTGTTTCTTTGTAGCTGCTTCTGATTTATTTTCATGAAATCCCTCTTCCATATCTGTATTGTCGAAAGCTAGGTATTCCTCAACTATTCCTTCTGAGAAGATTATACAGTCTTCTTCTCTTTCCACAGCACACAAACCAGGGGATGTTGCTGAATCTCTTTCTTGAGACAAGGCTGCTTCATGTGAAGCTGAAATAGCAGGTGGGGATCTAGGATATAATCCATAACCTTCACTTGGAGTAATTATCTGTTTACCCAGAATCCTGAGGTGAGGAAAGCTAGATGTCCACTGCTGGCACTCTTCTTGTAGACTCTTGGTATGCACACTTGACTTTTGCTCATATAAGAGCTCATCAATGGCTGTGAACATGGCCTGGACTTTTTCAGCGGCATTTTTATCAAGTTCACCATATCCCCAGGAGAAGTCTGAGCTGCCTTCTGTAGAGATCCCTGTGCCACTATAACTTGGAAAAGCAGATCCTGAATTCCCAGTGTTGCCTGATGTTAAAGGTGATTCTTGAGTGAAGTCAGACTCACTTTGGGAACTTGTGTCTTTTTCATGGCCATCATTAGTAGAGGAAATTTCATCCAGTTGCTCTGGAAGGGGATGATGATTAAGAGCATGTTTTGTTACTCCTTTCATCTCCAAGGTCTGCGGCACCGCCTTCCAAGTATGGTGTTTTCTAGAATGCATTCAAGTAACACTTAAATATTTGCTTTGCTTATGTTAGAACCTGAAGTGGGAAAGGAAAAAAAAAGTGTATTACGTAACATAAAGAAGGCACTTTAATTTGTGGTAAATGCATATGGAGATTAGTACTCGATGTTGAGAGAGAACATCGAAGGGATATTTAACCCAGTTGAAAAGGAGTAAGTTTCAGGGTGTTTTGTTGTGTTTATTTCTGCTAGAAGCAATGCCTTCTGTGTTTTAATTTTAGATTGAACCCAGGGCCTCACACATGCTGGATGAGCACTCTACCACTGAACCACAATCCCAGCCCAAGAACATACTTTTTAATTGGGCACTCAGTTTTGTATATTTTGAGGTATCAAACTAAAATAGAGCTGTTTGGGTGGCAATTTATAATTGAGAGAGGGGACTGGGAATTAGAATGCTATTTCAGTAACCAAAATAAAATATAAAATAAATGATCTAATGACAACTTTATCATTTTTAATTTTTTTCCAGTCATTTCTAATCCATTCTTGGAATTTCCCAAACCAGCACACAGTCTTCTCTAACCCCTGCTCCTTCTGTGTCTATTATGACTTTATCTACTCTATTATCCAGTAACTCAGTAATTATCATAATGCCTGTCCTCCCATTATCTAGCTCATCCCCAGATCCTCCTGACCCTACACATGAAGTTTTGAACATACGCACATCTCTTTCTACCACACCAGCCTTATTCTAAGCACCTGTCATTTCTCACCTGAACTCTTCATTAGTCAGGAGAAACAACTATTCCATTTCTAGAATCCATTTTCTCTTTTATAGTCAGAGGGATCATTTTCCCTCTAGAACTCAACACTTTTTTTAAAAAAAAAATTTTAATAGACAAATAATAATTGTACATCTTTATGGGGTAAAATGTGGTATTTTGATGTGGTTTCAGGTCAAACTAATGAAGCACCTCATATACTTATTCTTTGTGAGAATATTTAAAATCAACCTTTTTACTCATTTTGAAATATACAATCTATTATTAGATCACTAAAAAGAAAGATAACTATAGTACATAAAACTAAGCCTGTCTCTCCCTCATTTACATCGTTGAGTAAATACAAGAAAAGCAAAATCTTCCAACCTGGAAACTCTTCACAATGTTAGTAGAAAAAGAAAACATTTATTTATAAATAAGTATTAAGTGAGAATGTGATGCTCATCTTAGGCAGGTCCACTCAGAGACTAGAAAAGATAGAACTATCATTTTATTAGGCAATATAACCATTTATATCATAGCTTTCAAATTGATAATAATCAGTCTAAAGTAAGACTAATTAGACTTGGTAGCACCATGTATCACAAGTAGTTCACCTTAACTTTACCTTTTAATTGTGGTGAGTAAACTAGTGACCTTTATCCAAAGGGAAACCTAAAAGAACAAACAAGGCTCATCCTCAGAGAAAAAGCCCATTTACTGAGGAACAGCTCTGCTTATTTATAGAGCCAGGGGTGGTTTGACAGTTATGACAGTTTAACAGTTTAATGGTTTGACAGTTGGCATGGGGTACTTTCTGATTGGTGGGTAAGGATCATGTGAGTCAGCAGGGATCACCTTTGGACAGCTCTTCTGGGGGGGGGGGTAATGGGGAAGTTAGTCTTTGGAGCCAGGGCAACTCCCAACAAAACCAAATTTCTTATATCTTTAGTATGGGAAGAAGTTCTGTCACCTGGAACAGGTACTCACCAAGAGAGAGGGCCACTATCTCCTTTGATGTTTATATTTCAAAAAGATAGTCCCTGGTTCTTGGGGAAGATTCCTGGGTTGCAAAGCTGACAAAAGGAAAAAAAACAAACAAACAAACAAAACCTCACAACCTTCCAGCTTTCACAGGAATTTACATTTCAATTGCTAATCTTCTAAAGTAAATATAAATAAAAATGGGCAGAGAAATCATTTCCTTTATTTTCAGCATGGAGAACTAAGCTTCTTATTTTTAGTTTTTAGCTTTTGATGTTAACACCAAAAACATTTTCATATTTTCCTGTCTTGCTAGGATAAAACCCAGTGAAATTTTAAGGGGCTTGTATGGTGACAGGATCCCCTGGCCTCTCTGGCTATCTTGCTCCATGCTCCCCTCTCAAACATTTTCAGCTACATTGTTCTTATTTTATCGGAATTCATCCCACATTGCTTAGCATAACAAAAATACTTTTCTGTTTCACCATCCCTTCACCTGAGTTAGAATTCCTTATCTTTTTCATTTCATCTTCAATGTTCCTTTCATTAACAGCTGCCTGTTGCAGAAGATTTTTAGCTTCAAAAACACAAGGGCTGTATCAGTTTTTGTTGACTATTGCTTTATGCTGGGTTCAAAGTATTTCTTTTTGGCAAAGAAAATAAGTACCTTACTAATCTTTTGTGATGAATGGGTAAGAAAGAATAATATGAAAATTAAGTTATTAAAAAAAGAAAAGATAATATGATTCAATATTAAAAATCTGGAGGTCAGAAACTTTTTACGATTAAGGGATTGGAAAAAATAAGACTGTAGAACTAATGTCTTTAACAAAGAGAATGACAAATTTGATATAACATGTCTCATGTGTACATAGGCATACTCACACATATAAGTCAAAAGTCAGATAATAGAGGGAAACATACACCAATGGTTGAGTTGTTGTATTGTGAAACATTGTCAGAGTTTATTTTATAAATAATTAACTAGAAGATCCAGATGAGATTGAGATAACTTCTAACCATAGAAAAAAATGTCACCTGTAAACTAAGCAGTGCACATTAAAACGAGATGCCATATTTAATAGTTCTTATACTTTTTAATATGGATGGAGATAGAGTGAAACAGAAACTTTCTTACATTGCAAACAGAAATATAAATTCGTATAACTGTTTGCAAAATGATTTGTCAGTATTTTTCAGGAACCCTGAAATATTTGTACTCTTTGATCAAGTAAATCAACTTTAAAAAAAAATGTTATTGTATTTTTTATACCTTTATTTTATTTATATGGTGCTGAGGATCAAATCCAGTGCCTCACTCATGGTAGGCAAGTGCTCTACCACTGAGCCCAAGCCCCTGCCCCAGTAAATCAACTTTTGACAGTTTACCTAAAGGTTGTATTCTGAAACTCAGAATACAACTCAGTGTTTCCTATTTATAATTCACTTATGATAGTATAAAGCTGGAAATAATCTTACTATTCAAAATTGGAAGAATGTCTTATTAGTTTATGAAATTTATATATTAATGGGGTAAATTTCTGTGTAAGCATAAGGTGTTTGAAATAATATGGGGAATTTGTTTTTCTGTGTTATTTTTTTATGATTCCCAGATAATGCACAAACATTGTAAATTAATAACAGAACCAGCATTCTATTTACTGAGACCTGTATCAAAAGCAAAAACATTAAACAGGAAAGACTTGTTGAAAACATACTTTATATACAAGTCATCTTCAAAATCTCCTACTTAGGTGAGCTCCATTTAAGGAAAATATTCAGTGAATTTTTTTTTTCAGGTAAAACAGTCAAATCAAGGTAACTGCTTGTTGAATTCAGCATGTATTTTTTTTTGCCCTTAGCTAATAGCCTGTTTAGTTTTGGTTCTGTTTTCCTGGAAAATTATTGACCAGGTTTCCAAAGACATCAGAGATTCCAGTAAGTGACACATTACGTGGCTTATTGCACTGGTTGTGAAAATATTATCCCTCCCATTTTCCTGCGAATGCTGTAGGCCAAAAAAAAAAAAAATAGTCAAAAAGCCAGCAAAAACTACGCAGAATAAAAACAACACAAACAAAAATTGTTCAGACACATAGACTATCCACCTAAGGCCTGATTTTCAAAATCAGATATGGCATTTTTACTTTATGATGTTTAAACACTGATAATAAGGATTTTTTTTAAACTTAGCTGTTTGATTCTGTTTGGCTTCAATGACTCGAATATGCACATTTTTATATGATTTGTGAAAATTATATGTACAATTTCTTCAGCAGTGGTTGTAATGTGGAGCTGCTTTCTTTGGTTTCATGACATGATGTCATTTTTCTCATTAGGAATAAAAATCAATCCCTCACTCAATTATACTGTTAGCTTGCAGTTGAAGAGAAGTTTATAGAAAGTGTAAGACATCATCCACTTTGCCAGGTGACAAAAATGAGATAAAATATTGCAGAACATTCCTTGGCAGCATATGCATCACCATTTGCCACATAAGAATAATTAGATCTTATTGTGTTTTTCTTAATAATTTTGAAAGGAATAATTTGATAAAGAAGTTTGATTTCATTGACAGTGAAAGAGGCATCTTGGGATAGTGAATATATTTTCACTTGAAAGAATGTAGATAGTCTCTGTGTCCTCTATTCTGTACCATTGGTCCACCCGCCTGTTTTGGTACCAGTACCATGCTGTTTTTGTTACTATTGCTCTGTAGTATAGTTTGAAGTCTGGTATCGCTATACCGCCTGATTCACACTTCCTGCTTAGCATTGTTTTTGCTATTCTGGGTCTTTTGTTTTTCCATATGAATTTCATGATTGCTTTCTCTATTTCTACAAGAAATGCCATTGGGATTTTGATTGGCATTGCATTAAACCTATAGAGAACTTTTGGTAATATCGCCATTTTGATGATGTTAGTTCTGCCTATCCATGAACAGGGTATATTTTTCCATCTTCTAAGATCTTCTTCTATTTCTCTCTTTAGGGTTCTGTAGTTTTCATTGTATAAGTCTTTCACCTCTTTTGTTAGGTTGATTCCCAAGTATTTTATTTTTTTTGAAGATATTGTGAATGGAGTAGTTGTCCTCATTTCCATTTCAGAGGATTTGTCGCTGATATACAGGAATGCCTTTGATTTATGCGTGTTGATTTTATATCCTGCCACTTTGCTGAATTCATTTATTAGCTCTAATAGTTTCTTTTACAACTACCTTATATTTGATAAAGGGGCTAAAAGCATGCAATGGAGGAAGGATAGTATCTTCAACAAATGGTGCTGGGAAAACTGGAAATCCATATGCAACAAAATGAAACTGAATCCCTTTCTCTCGCCATGCACAAAACTGAATTCAAAATGGATCAAGGAGCTTGATATCAAATCAGAGACACGCCGTCTGATAGAAGAAAAAGTTGGCTACGATCTACATACTGTGGGGTCGGGCTCCAAATTCCTCAATAGGACACCCATAGCACAAAAGTTAATAACTAGAATCAACAAATGGGACTTACTCAAACTAAAAAGTTTTTTCTCAGCAAAAGATACAATAAGAGAGGTAAATAGAGAGCCTACATCCTGGGAACAAATCTTTACTCCTCACACTTCAGATAGAGCCCTAATATCCAGAGTATACAAAGAACTCAAAAAATTAGACAATAAGAGAACAAACAACCCAATCAACAAATGGGCCAAGGACCTGAACAGACACTTCTCAGAGGACGACATACAATCAATCAACAAGTACATGAAAAAATGCTCACCATCTCTAGCAGTCAGAGAAATGCAAATCAAAACCACCCTAAGATACCATCTCACTCCAGTTAGATTGGCAGCCATTATGAAGTCAAACAACAACAAGTGCTGGCGAGGATGTGGGGAAAAGGGTACACTTGTACATTGCTGGTGGGACTGCAAATTGGTGCAGCCAATTTGGAAAGCAGTATGGAGATTTCTTGGAAAGCTGGGAATGGAGCCACCATTTGACCCAGCTATTCCCCTTCTCGGTCTATTCCCTAAAGACCTAAAAAGAGCATGCTACAGGGACACTGCTACATCGATGTTCATAGCAGCACAATTCACAATAGCAAGACTGTGGAACCAACCTAGATGCCCTTCAATGGATGAATGGATACAAAAAATGTGGCATTTATACACAATGGAGTATTACTCTGCATTAAAAAATGACAAAATCATAGAATTTACAGGGAAATGGATGGCATTAGAGCAGATTATGCTAAGTGAAGCTAGCCAATCCCTAAAAAACAAATGCCAAATGTCTTCTTTGATATAAGGAGAGTAACTAAGAACAGAGTAGGGTCGAAGAGCATGAGAAGAAGATTAACATTAAACAGGGATGAGAGGTGGGAGGGAAAGGGAGAGAGAAGGGAAAATGCATGGAAATGGAAGGAGACCCTCAGAGTTATACAAAAGTACATACAAGAGGAAGTGAGGGGAAGGGGAAAAATAATATAAGGGGGACAAACGAATGTCAGTAGAGGGGGCAGAGAGAGAAGAGGGGAGGGGAGGGCAGGGCAGGGGAGGGGAGGGGAGGGGGGATAGTAGAGGATAGGAAAGGCAGCAGAATACAACAGACACTAGTATGGCAATATGTAAATCAATGGATGTGTAACTGATGTGATTCTGCAATCTGTATATGGGGTAAAAATGGGAGCTCATAACCCACTTGAATCAAAGTGTGAAATATGATATATCAAGAACTATGTAATGTTTTGAACAGC